AGTTTATTATTCATGGAGACATCAGCTAAAACATCAATGAATGTAAATGAAATATTCATGGCAATAGGTAAGATTGACTTTTTTTTTTCCCCCAAACTAAATATAGTCAAAAGAAGTAGTGGGGCATTTTTAGTTTGACTTTTTAAAAAAACCATTATTTTCTTTCTTTTATTTTTAATTATCCTACCGCTATTTTAGATTCACTTGACTAAGCATTCATTATTGTTAGTATTGTTAAATTTGAGCGATTATTACTTATTAGGTTGTAATACTTGAAGTTTAGTTTCTTCATAGTTGGAAGCCTGTATTCTGAGCTGATAGATTTTTTAAAGGTATCACTGAGAAATTTGGATAAATGTGTTTTTCTATTAGATTATACTTTTTATATAAAATATAAAAGAGCCATATTTTTCAACACAACATGTAGGCATACTGAGATTTTTCTCACTGGTCAGTAACAGTTTTCATCTGTCATGTGCCCTGAACAGAGCACTAATTTGGTTTTTCAGGTTCTTTTTAAATCATTGATGTATACATATACAAATGTATAAATTGTTTTAATGCAAATATTGCAATAGAAAGTTTCAAATCATGAGGCATAGAGAGAAAGAGAAAGCAAAACAACACCTGTGCTTTGTATGACCTCAATGGTCATTTGATCCTACACAGTCCTCTTATGTTTCTTTTAAGGTACTTTTAACTGATGAAGACTGCTAGTCGGCAGTTATTGATTATAGGTAATGAAGTTGGAATAGTCATGCAGTTAGTTTCCTTTCATCTTACAAAAAATAAAAGTATTTCTGTTGACCCTTCCATGAGTTTTAAGAGGCAGATTGTGTGAGAAGGGTCTACTTAGGTGGCTGTCCCAGTTTTCCACCTCCACAATATTCATATGCAAGCACTCTTCTTGTTCTATAACATCTTTTATTACACAGCAGTGATTATTACCTGGGTGTCCACATTCCTATCCTCAAATAAGGAATATTCTTTTATATTGATGGCATGCAAATTGACCAGTTAAGAGCTGATTCAAAGGCTAAAGAAACCTCAGTAAAAGCTGCAAGTATTGTCCTATCTTTCACTAGATAGATAAGAGGGTTTAATCTCATTTAGGAAAAAAACTTGCCTGTGTTGTATAAAATATTTTCCTGAGAAACTCAGGCTTGCGGTTATTAGGGAAATGCTAGGACAGTTGTGAAGGATTGTTTGGCAATATGCTGTGTTTATAAATGGGATAGGTGACACCCAGAACCACATCTGAAAATTTAACAGGAAATGAAATAAAGCTGAACTTCAAAGCTTTCTGGTGGTATTTAATTTGTATTTTTTATTCAGATGTGCTAGTAAGGTCATTTTTCCAGTCAGAAAGTAGCCTACATACTAGAGCTTTCAGTTTTTTCTGAAATTAGAATGTCTCTTTCCTTGAAAGAAATGGAAGTGCCATTTCTTTTACTAGATTATAACAAATAAATCACACAGTGCACTCATATTTTTACTTCTGATGACTTCCCAAAGGGAGTACACTTACTTTTTGGGAGAGTCTACAATAAGTTTATTGTCTGCTTTTAATTGTACAAGGTTTTGAGAGGCTTCTTTTCTTACATATATCTTCATGAACTTGATCTAGGATTTTTAATTTCTCACAATCCTAATCAGTTTAGGGACAAATTAGTAACCTACAGTTATCCATATACAAAACAGTACCAGTTTCATTTTGGTAACAGTCGGTAAGATAGGAGACAACTTCTTTTGAGATCCCAGAAATTTGTTTTAGTTTATCATTACAGTAAAAATTAACCAGTAGATGCTAAAAGTTCTTCAATGCAGTTTATTTCCATCAGCCTCCTGATTTCACTTACATCTAATTACAGGAAGCCTTTGGAGAAGTATGCTAAAGTGAGAAATGATCACTCAGTCCCAAACCTAACCTGGTATTAGTTGTAATAAAGGTTATAGTGCTAGTCTACTCTTTGTCCTACAAGGCTTTATTTGTGAATACAGTTGACTGGGAAATTACCATTTTATTACCATTTATAACACCATCTACAGAGCAGTTCCTAAAGAAGTGGCCCAAGGTAATGGCTTTTCTTCCCAAACCTCTGCTCCTGGCTCCCAGGTTCAGCATCTAGAGTTCTAAAGATTATTACAACAAAAAAAGGATAGGCAATCCAAAACACAACTAGGCATTCAGATTTTGAAGTAGAGCATGTTTACCTTTTGTGTAAACTGAGCCAAGGCTGTTTAAGTTAGTATCTTACTATAGTAAGTAGTCTGTCCCCAAAGTTGGTAGAGACCGTCGTGTCTGGCCACCCTTAATTACAATCTGTACTCTTAGAGATGTTTAATATTTAATGAATCCAGCACATCAAGGATCTTCAGATTCCAAGCAGGTGACATCTAATCAGTAGGAGCTGTGCTCCAGAGAATAGCATTAGTTATACTGCACTTAGCAGAGCTAAAGTCATTAGTGCTGGTGAGGGGCAGGCCGTGCTCCTCTGACTCAAAATTGGGAAATAGTTGTTCAAGAGAGCCTGAGGAACAGTCTCACCTATTAGGTAGTGTTACTGGTGAATCAGATTAGTGTTCTTACCCACAAAAGAGGAAAATGGTAGATATTTGAAGGGTGAAGTCTGTTTAAGCCAGGAAGAAAATAAAAGATGTGATTTCTCATAATTCTAGGTAATGATTAGGTAGCACAGTAGAGGACAAGTTCTGCTGGAGTGATGATAATGGTATTTGTTTATCCTGACTTGTTCCAAAAAGTGTTCATGGCAGTCCAAAGAACATTGATACAAGTTGTGTGCTTCCCTTACTCATTGGCTGGCCATCATTTTTAGTAACTTAATTTTTTTTTTTTTAAATAATGATTGTAAAATAAAGTATAACGTTTCTGGTATTGCTAAGTGACTCTATATAAAGAATTTAATACAGCTCTAGTCAGGTTAAGTTTTAATCATGTGTCAACAACTGGATCCCATTTACCCTTCCATCAGCTAACTAAACTCCCTAAGGACAGTGACCAGTGTTTTGATATTTACTAGATGCTCAACAAATATTTGAACAGAATGGACATATGGTGCCCCTGACCAGTGTGGCTCAGTTAGTAGGGTATTGTCCTGCAAACCAAAAGGTCCCTGGTTCAATTCTCAGTCAGAGCACTTGCCTTGGTTGTGAGTTTGGTCCCAGGTTGGAGTGCGTACGAGAGATAACCAACCGATCAGTGATTCTCTTTCACATAAGTTTCTCTCCCTCTTTCATCTCCCCCATCCCCTGTAAAAGTATAAATATAAATATATATATTTATGTATTTAATGTACATGGTTATGCGATAACTTTGGGATACCCTCACTGGAAAGGAAGATTATAAGTATGCAGATGAAAGTAATTCTAGGATCAATTTTCTAATTATGTTTTTTTAAATAATTTAATCTCTCAGCTAAGAAGTTGCCAAAGAATGAACCACAGAATCCAGGAGCAAATTCTGCCAGGGGAAGAGGAGTAGACCTTACTGAACCTACGCAGCCAACCAGGAGTCAGTGTTGTAGTAACTAAACCTCCAGTTTGAACTGGCTGGAATATTCTTCTGCTTCCTAAATGTTAACGGTGGAAATGGAGCATTTAACCAGCTCAGTATGACTTCCAAAAAGAAGAGACTTATGATAGAGTCAGGTTTCTAATACAGAATTATTTTAAGTGTTTTGAACTTAATTTTTAATAACATGCATGTGACCCTCCGACTAATGTTTCAGCAGTAGAAGGGGGAAATGAGACCTGTGTGCACACTTGTTTCCTTGGAAGGTTAGGGGTAATCATTTCTCATCACCAGGGATATATATAGATAGACAACTGACTATCTGAACCCACAGTTAATCAGCCAGTTCTATGAAAAAGATTTCAAATTTAATTTGAGCTTTTCAGAAACATTCTTTTTTAGAAGAAGGTTCTAAAGATATTTATGCTTATCTATGGTATATAGGCAACCGGTAATTTCTCGTAGTATCTGTATTTAAAGTGTACATTCCACATTTTAGAAAATTAGCCACAAGAAGAAAGTCCCACATCTTCAGGGCAAGGTGAGGAATGAACATTGATGGCATTTAAATTGTAACCAGTCCTGTTATTTTAAGTGGGGTAAAAAAGAAAATCAAATGTAACCCCATCTTGTTTGAGAAATATGAAAACTGATAAATGCATCTTAATGGGTAGTGTTTCCTTCAAACGTGAGCTCTTCAACAAAAGTGAAACAAACCAGGTGTCTGTAATTTCTTTTTAATCACTGAGGGCCATTATATAGGTTTAGTAATTTGGGGGCATGGAAGGGGCTTTTGTTCCCTTTGGACATGATATAGTCAATGCACTAACAATTATGTACATTCAAACTTGATTATTTTAAATTCAAGCTGTACTGTAAATAGGGTACTGCATTGTAGTCTCCATATGTTTATTACTTTTCTGTAATATTTAAGAATTGCTTAAAAGTATACAAAATGTACAGTTACTAAAACAGCTAATTTTTCCCTTCTCGCTCACTTTGCGTGGAAGGGATTTCAGTTCCTACATGGCTAGAACCATGATAATGTACCAGTAATTTGTAGCATAAGTATTACAATATGTTAGTAACAATCTTGCAGCTTTGTTTTCCAAAGTTCATTTTATTTGGATCAGTTCAGTATATTGCACTAATTGTTTTAGGTATTTTCATTATATGAAATCTACCATGTGTCAGAGATGATTTAATCTATTTAAGTGTTGAACTGCTAGCAGAACTTGTATATTTACAGTAATTCAGAATTAGTAAGGAAAACAGTTCACCAGTGTTTAGTTTTATATTGAGGTGCCCAGGTTGGAATAAAGTGGTATAAAAAGCAAATATTGGTTTTTCTCTCTTTCTTGGCATGGATGGAACAGTGAACATATAAAAATGGTATTATGTAACTTAAGATCCGCTTTTATATTTTCTTAACTACATTCTTAAAAATGATTTGTGTGGTATTGATGTATTATCCTAATATCTGGTTCATTGAAGAATTGTCTATATTTTTGTATTCTGGATAATCAGAACTTTTATCTTTTACTTCAGAAACTGATAACTCACTTCCACAGAGAAGTATGACCATAACTGTAATGTTGTCTCTGGAGCCAGCCATTAAAGCAGCATTTACAAGTTCATGGCTGATATACTCAGCTGCGCCTTCATAGAAACTCTCAGTGCTTATCTTTTCTTTACTTAAGTCTTTTGGCAGACCCTCTGTGTGTCTGTCAGTTTCTTCACTGCAAGGATCACGATTAGTCATTTCTGGTAGAAGTGTTTGTGCATTTTTAGGATCACAAGTGAAATATTTAGAATATTTTGAATCAGACATATGTTCTTTTGCATTTGTACTTGACACACATTCTTCAGATTTACACTGAAACAATGTGTAGATATTACTGTCTGATACAGTAATGCTTGGTTCATTGTCTGGGAAAAACAGAGGACCTTTGGATGGTGAAGATTTCTTTTGGATGTTGGGTGTTTCTTTATACACTTGAAACATTGTTAATGCCAATGCAGTGACTTCCTTGTTATCCAGAACTTCCCAGAGTCCATTAGTTGCTAAGATAAGGAATTGACATAAATCATCTATAGAGACAGAAATAGTTTGAGGTGCTGGAATAATGAATTTTTTCAGTTTGGAGTTTCCATGAAATCCAAGCCCTCTTGAAGTTTTCATTTGCCCTTCCAGGAGCCCATATGGTTCATTTGAACTGATTATTGCTCCATTCTGAAGTACTCGTCTTCTTTCGTCTGTGTTTCGCATAGTGTGTTCTTTGGTTAGGCAAAACCCTTTCCCATTTCTGCATAAGACTGCTTGCACATTACCTAAAAGTTTATTAGAAAAAAATTGATCCTAGAGATTTAATAACCAATTGTATCAAAGTATGCTGCTAACTTTATTAATTCTATTTCAGTGCACAAATATGTGTAATATTGACATCATTAATTGGATTTACAGTAATTGATATTTCAGACTGGGAAGCCAGTTGATTCCTTATTTTAAAGCAATTTTGTGTTTAAAATACTGCATTTAGTATTAAAATAATTAAAATTACAGATACTGAAAAACCAAATTTGTTTATGAAACCACTTCCCAATGTTAGTTACTTTGTAGAGCCAAGAGTTTAACTTTTTTATAACTAACATATACAATAGAGCATTTTTAAATGTTTAAGTAAATACATTTTAATTGAAATATATAAACCTTTGGATTTATTTTTAAGTGGAATTTGGTGATTTTATAACTGGTAAAAGTTAAAAACAGCATACATGTATGGGTGGTAAAAAAATTAAAATACCACTGTTAATCTCAGTCTAGCAAGGTTCCTGATGTGTGTGGCTAAAAAGAAATTAAGCCGCCACTGTGAAGAAAAAATAATATGTATTATTAATGTATTAAATGGATAATAGCTAGCCAACATGGAATTAAACCTTTTGATTGAAAACTGAAATTGTAAAAGTTGATTATAGTTTATTCATGTTTCAGATGAACTGGTTATGTGTGCTTCACTGAAATCTTGAACAACTGCTCTGAACAGTAATGAGCAGATTGAGGGATGGTTGTATTACCAATACTTTCTTTAGTTTATAAAAAGATTTGTTAGGAAAATTTTCCCCAAGTTTTTAGACCATAATTGTATATTCAAGCATAGTCAATAGTTGATAGGAATCATTTGTAAAAGAGTATTTAAATTATTCTGAGGTGAAGTTAATGATGTTTGAATATTATAATACTTTTGAGGATGACTATTACTGGAATAATGTAAATTACAGGATATTCTGGTTTCAAACATGGTGCTGTACCCAAAATCAGAATTTTGTTGCAGAGGTTCAAGTCTAAACCCCTGATTTTGGGGGTAAAGAAAGGAATTTAAGTTTGAGGAGGCTGAGGTCTACAATCTAGTATGGTGGGACAGAAAGAGGATAGGTTAGTTAAGGATTAGTATCGGGTATAGACTGAGTTTACTGGCTCTTTTACATAATGGGAATTAAGATACTTGAATTAATGAATGGGACCAAAAGCTGAAGATGTACATGGAAAATATTTTAGGTCTAAGAAACATATAAATGATAATCCTAAAAATTGCATGACCTTATTTCTTTTTAGTAGGGTTTATTAATATTTTATATTCACATGTCTTTTCTGCTGGTTATTCTACTTAGGCTGTGCAAAGGGTAAATCAGTAAAATAATTCTTCAGCCCTGGCTGGTGTGGCTCAGTGGATTGAGTGAAGCCTGAGAAACAAAGTGTCACCGGTTTGATTCCCTGTCGGGGCACATGCCTGGGCTGTGGGCCAGGTCCCCAGAAGGGGGCGTGTGAGAGGCAACCACACATTGATGATTCTCCCTCTCTTTCTCCCCCCCCCCCCGTCTAAAAATAAATATTTTTTTCTTTAAAAATAAAATTCTTTCGCTAGTTGTAAATTATTACTGTACCAGCAAGGGAACATGGAGTGGTATTGAACATGCCAACTAAGTAAACTGAATTGTTTCATAAGGAAGACAAAGTACCGTTTACATTTGAATTTCTTCACATGTGTATGTACACTATTAAATAGTGCAACCATAGCTCTGAAAACATGCAATATGTTTTGGCTCAGAATAATCAAATCCTCCAATTCCTAAATGTATGTTTGTATGTCACAATTCAAAGCGCATTTGGCAAAAAGAAAAAGCTCTTTTTCTACTCTGAAATGAGAATTGAATGCAATTGAGTATTTGATGGGAAGGTGGTATACTGGTATTTTGGTTTTAGTTGCCTGTGCAGAGAGTTTGGTATACATAGCCATAATGCACTGTTTGGCCTTTTTTTTTTTGCCCTGTGCTAGAGAATAGGAAATGCCATTTTGGCCAATTTTATTCTTCTCTTACTATTTTTGAGAAGGGACACTAAATCCTGGTTGCAATTTTTGCTCTGTTGGCTTACCATCTGACTTCAGGTGCGTTACATAATTTCTTTGACAATTTATTCGTTCTGATAAAAAGGGAGATAGTGCCTTCCAAGTAACTCATTCTTAACCTGTGTGAATGGTGCATGAAGAAAAGAGAAAGTGCAGGAAAGGTGCATGATATTTCTCAACTATTCATGCATTGCCCAGGAAGTAGAGGGATAAGTAATATTGAGGTCCTGAAAGAGTGTTAATTGAACAGATAAGAAATATTGGATGTGCTGAGTTAATAGTTTCCTAGACGTAGGCTTGCGTATGCTGTCAGCTGCAAATGGGGTGGTTGGAAGGGGTTGACTACTAAGCTAAAAGAATAAACTAATGAACAAAAAGCCCCAAGAAAGAAGGAAAGTGAGGATGATTTTAAAATAGCACTATATGTCCATATATCTGCAAAACTGAAGGAAGAGAGGAGCGAGTCATGACTATAAAAGGGAGGACAGATTGGTTTTAAAGAGGGCCCCTGTAACATCTATTCGGAGAATGTGAGAATTAGCAATGAACGGTAATGACGATCCTTACGCAATAATTGTAATGCATCTAAGCATAAATAAATTCAGATTCCTAGACATAAAGTTATCAGTACCTGGAGAGAGTGTACTCTTAAGAAAATGTTACAACAAAAATGGAACAGCTACTGGAAGAGCTACATGTTTAGGGACATTAATCGTGGGGATTCAGAAGAACTGCTTTGAGATGTTATTTAAACCATTTTAAGATGGCGTGTATAGCCCCCCTGCTGGTGTGGCTCAGTGGATTGAGCGCTGGTCTGCGAACTTGAAGGATCGCGGGTTTGATTCCCAGACTAGGGTGGGTGCCTGGGTTGCAAGCCAGGTCCCCAGCAGGGGGCACATGAGATGCAACCACACATTGATGGTTCTCTCCCTTCCCGCTCTAAAAATAACTATCTTTTTAAAAAAAAAAGTCAAGTATAATCAGGCAAAGTGGTCCTTACGTAGAGAGCAATGCTGTAACTGCCTCCTGCAATTGCTGGGTTACCTCCAACTTGTGAAAAGAATATTCCTATAAACTTCGTAGTGACCTTGAAATTCCCAAGGGAATTCTATATCTGAATGGGCAAGATAAAGATTTATGTTACATAAAGCCAGCAGAGCCGCTTACTGCTGATCACATTAAAAGTTTTAAGAAAGAACTAGAGAAAAAAGGAAAAGTTTTTGTGTAGTGTAAGAAAAGGAAACACCTGGCTAGGATGCATGGGTCCCCTGGGATAAAAAGATGGCTTGTTTAGAAGAAAGAGCATGGGAAAGTGGACAGACGTGGGAATCTGGCACTTTGGAACTTCAGTCACAACTTTGTGTCCGTGTGGTTATTAGGTCACTTTATGTACCTGAGTAACAATTTTCCACTACCAATGTTTTTTGTCAAGGTTATTGTGAAGATTGAAGAAGGTACTTTTCATAAGGAGACACTTGATAAAGGTGTTCCGTGAAGGAGAAAGCAGGCAAAGAGCCTGTTCAAAAAAAGATTGAGGCGAAACTATATGTTTTATATCAGATCCCTTTATTAAAAAAATAAAACCGCTTATGAGATAGAATCATAGGTTAAGGGAGTAGGGAGCAGTAACTTGGGAAATGAGGGAATAGTTATTTGGGAAAGAGAAAACAGTCCAAAGTAGCATACACTAAGGAAATTTAAATGCACATGAAATACACCTAAGGAAGCATAACAGAAATAACATGTAAATGATGTCAGGGAAACAAACTATATCCAGTTTTTCTTCAGGACTAATTTTGACAAAAAGGCTGAATTTGTATACTTGGACACCAGGCTTGACTTATGAAGGCACAAGAGCCTCACTGATGTGTGGAGCTAGTTTTCACTGGATGTTTAAAAGATTTGTTCATGTTGTAAGATGTATGCTCATAATTGTATGTCTGGAGCCTAATGATACTTTACACATCAGTTGTTGAATGTCTTCTCAGAATCAGGTTTAGATGTGTGTGAGTCCACTATCAACATTCACCGAAAAAGAAGAGGGGAAGGTAAAATATGTAAAAGGTTGGTGTTATTTAAGAATACGATTTCTTTCCTGCATAAAAGAAGGTGATTCTGGGGTTGATTAGATTTTTAAGGGGAAAGGACAGGGCTGGAAATAATTTTAACAGCAACTTAATAGACCATCATGAGTGAGCAAAATCTTGACAGGAGTGTAACAAAAAATTAAATGAGATCTGCAAATACAGCATCAGTCACGAATGAAGGTGAAGGCAACAGAAGAATGAAGATACACCCTAAAAACAAGAAACAGGTGGTGATGTTTATTTGAAGTAACAGGACTTTGAGTCTAAAAGACATCATTAATCATTAATTATATAGTGATGCAACCTTATTTAATACTTTGGTGGTCCTTAGTCATCTCATTTATTAAAACATGATTATCCTTACCTCAAAGGTTGTGAGGGTTAGGTAAAGGAGTCACTTGGTAACTTGGGAAAGAAGGAATTGGGAATAATAGAGAACAAGTGGGTAAAGCCCTGCTTCCTCTTTGGATCTAGAGTGGGCTCATGGAACAGAAAGCTAGACGCTAGGAGACAAAAGTAGTTTTGGGGGGGGGCCTCGTTAAAAGTTATTAAGAACAAATAGTCTAGACAAAATTTTGGAATAGCAGATACACTAAAACACTCAAGTACTACAAAGCAGTAATGTGGCAATCTGGGTCTTTAATTGACTTTCCACTGAGAACCAGAAATACCCTCGATGATTTACATACACTTTTAGGTCATATGCATTGATGAACTATTAAAGAATTCTCAGGTCAGAAAAGTAAGGGCTGAATAAATGAGCTTTTAATTTTCACAAGGTTATGGAATAGGACACAAAACCTAGGGCCTAAGGTGGGGAAGACTAACGGTTCTTCCC